TCCATCCACTGTTGCCGCCTTATACCCACGAGGCCCTTGTTCGCTTAGAGAGACAGAGTGCTTTACATGGATACGATGCTGGTACCGTCCATCTGCGGACTGGGGAGGTTGCCAGGCAAACACTCGACCCGACCGTGTTAGTGCCGCACAGATCTCCCAGCCAGCAGAAATCTGCACTATTGGATCCCTCTTAACACTGTTGATGCTATGACCACCTCGAGCGTCAGTATATCGATCTGTTCCAAAGGTGACTTCTACTGCCTTGTTCTCTCTACACCATTGCCAGATTTGGCCGTTTGCATCCTTTGCCAAGACGACCTGTCTTCCTGCGACGAGCTGCACAACGTTCCTTGGGCGCTTCAGCATCCGGGGTGTAGCGTCTGATCGTAGTCCGCTGGATTCCATAATGCCTTTTTTTTTATGTTTTTGTTTCATTTGGTCAGTTTGAGATCATACATCATCCTCAATGTGGGATCCAAGCATCGTGAAATCAAATATCAGTAACTTACATCCCCACGCCCATACATCCCCTCGCTTGTCGAGTGCGTGACAGCCCCAACCGGTCGGGGCCAGTTGGACGATCCCTACGCCATCTAGTCGCTGTACCCTCTTAGGCACGCTCTCGTAGTATTTTTTTGAAGTTCGACCATATCCTAATCGGCAATCACTGTTGTTTCCTGTCATCGGTCCAGGCAATGAAAAATTAGTTTGCAATTTTTTTTTTCTCGGTCACCTGCAATTTTTGTTACAGTCTATCGGAACCGCTCGTACCCCATGTATACACCTCGACGCGATCCATAGCCTGATAGATCCGCTTCCACCCTCCGAGCTGCCTAAGCGCTTTGCTGGGTCGGTATTGAAATTCTTTGAAAAACTTGCGCTGCCACAGATAGTCCGATTGGCACAGATGATGCATTCCCTTGGACACACGAACTAGGCTGGCCAGATCGGAGAGCGGAAGCGTTGCAAGGATCTCTCCCACAAGGATCTCAAGGGGCAATTGCATAAGGTTGATCCTTGTGCTCCCAACGCTGTCTGCGCCCGTTGGAGCTGAGTTGGACGTGACTGCTGGAGTATCGGGCCCTGGAGGATCCGCTCCTGGCGACAATGTCGATGATACCAGGCGCGACACGAATGAAGGCGTCCTTCTGCAGAGCATCGAGGCAGTGTAATAGTGGTTGTCATGGATCGTCATGATAAGCTAAGTGGAAGTGACGAACAGATTGTTTAGTATGTGAGGAAGAAAGAAAGCGAAGAAGACGAAAAAAGAAAAAGAAGGGTTTCAGTAGAAAGAAATGGTCGTGTCTGCGGTCACGCACGGCCCCCATCCACCGTCTTTTCATTCGGTCCTTCTCCACAATCATGACATAGCGCGAGTCGCGGCTGCTCAGCTCAATCCAAAATGCCGCCTTTTATTCATATGCCTGGCTCCCAGTCAGGACTCTCGGCATATGCATGCATGTGCGGATGAGGGAAAATGACATGCGGACGTGAGCTGCTATATCGTGATTTCGTGTCGTTTATTAATATCTCCGTAGGTTGAAGAGTAAAGAAAGTCGTCGCACAACCAATTGACATAACGGGAAGCACATTTGAGAATGATCCCTTTTTTGATGGACTACAGTAGTATGGTACAAAATTGAAGGAAATAACAGACTGGTAATATCAATAATTAACTTGGGATTGTAAAATGGCGCCTACTCCTTGTCAGAATGCTGCTCTTGCTCCTGCTGCTCTTGTTGTTGTTGCTCCTGCTGTTGCTTCTCAAGTTTCGCAGCCGTAGCACGGCGCTTCTTTGAAAAGTAATCCACGCTGCGACCATCGCGCTGAATGTGGAGCGCTGACATAACTGCCTCTGATGGTGTCATACCTCCCGGCCCAGATGTCCGTCTCTTGCTCTCTCCCTTCTCATCATCAATGGACCGTTTCTGCCCATCGCTCGAGTCATCCTCGCCAGAGTCACGCCGTCCCTCGCTTCCTGATGCTGCCACAGCCGCCTCCATCGCCTCAGACCTAGCCTTGACACTCTGCCGTTTGTTCTGAAACCAGATCTGGACCGTACGTGGACACATCCGACACTGCTTCGACAGACGCAGTCGCTCCTCTGTCGACGGGAAGTATGACCGCTCAAAGGCCGCATTCAGTACCGAGAGTTGGCTGGCATTGGCTCTCTTGCGCTTCGCCTTGACCGCATAGAACTCATCGTCCATCACAATGATATCCTCATCGTGACCAGGGTTCTTGATACGCTTGGGCTTCTTTGACTTTGACTTTTGCTCAGCCGTGTCGAAAGGATGCACCGATTGGCTAGCAGACATTGACGACTTGGAGCGCTTGGACGACCGATGACCACTGCTCCTTTCATCCCCATGCTCATAATCGTGACCGGCTGAGGGATCCGAGGAATGATAGCCACCCGAAGAATATACGCCAGACTGCTCATGATGTGCATGGTCCGAGTAGTAGTCCGAGTGCTGGTATGGCAACTGCGCCTGAGGCTTCGGTGGCACACTATGTGCGTAATTCTGGTACCAGGTTGGTGGCTTGATATCGTACGTCGGCGACTGAGGGCGAGAGTACGGTCGTGAGGGTGCGTATGACGAAGCGGATGTGGAGGAAGTCGCGGGACGATTTGGCTGGGACTGTGCTGACTTCCATCCGCGATTATCATAGTCATATCTGGGGCGGTCCATATCTGACGATGAGGATGGATGATGGTGACTTGATGGTGCAGAGTAACCGTATGCTTGTGCACCGTATGCAGCAGCCATGCTTGAACTAGATCCATAATTACGTGAATAACTGCTCGAGTCCTGTCCCACTGAGCGCCTTCTAGCCTCTCCCTCGGGGTCGTCCGGAATATGGTGCAGGGGTTTTGAGTACTGACTGGACCCATATGATGCTGAGGGTGCAGGTGGGGGCAGGCGCTGTGGAATATCTGCAGCGTCAATTCCATATATCCGACGGGGCTTGGGCTCCACGGGCGCACTGGAATAGCTGGAGGGATATGACAGATGTGAGGATGATGAGGACGAGGAGGACTTCGAGATCGAAGAGGACGAAGGGTAGGGCGGCGGGAGGAGACCAGAACTGGTGAAGGTGTAGGGCCTGGTCTCATTGGGCGCATCAACTGGGACGACGCGGTTAGAGCGGGGCATGGGTGTCCAGTTGTCGTCCACGGTCGAATCCCTGCCATAAACCCTTGGAGGTTTGCTCTCGGCAGCAGAGAGTAGTGCCTGTGTAGAGATGATAGAACAGAACAAGAAAAGAACCAATGAGAAGACATGTCAATTTCAATTAAATTCTCTCGCGTGCACGCGTGCCTTGAAGATATAAAATGAATAAAACCCAAAAGAAAGAAGACACTGCGCGTGTGTTTGTGTTGATGCATGGTATGGTTTTTGTTTTTTTGTGGGGATGGGTGCATAGGTGCATGGTGACGAGAGGGCGCGGCTGTGTGTAACAACACTTGCGAGAGATGGAAGGAGGGCGAGAAGGCGAGAGCGAACCAGACCATAGATGGTCCGGAAGTGAGCGGGGAGAGCAGCCGAGTGCAAAAAAGAGGAGCAAGCCAGAGCAAGGTAGTGTAGCATGATTTTGTAATTGGATAAGCAGTATCGCTCAAGTTGCAATACACAAACAAAAAAACTTACAGAGGGCGGAGGAAGCATAGGGCCACGGCTCTGTCTTCGGAGTTGGTCGCCCGGACTGGCCTCTGCAGTCTGTGCATGGCCATACTCATGCACGTTACGTCCTGAGGTCGTACCAGACGGGGCCGATGATCGGGCGTTTGTTGGGGTGGCGCCAGAATAAGAGGAGTAAGACACGGCCAAAGATGTGGACGAAGAGGGCGGTGCGTGATAGTACAGCGGCGCAGATGTCTCTATCGCAGCCGCAGCCGACGTTGAGACCATCGAGGGGCCGTCCGATGGATGGGACTTGTGCAGCACAGCGTTGCTTAGTGGTGGCGAGTCCAGGTAGGGCCCGTAGTTCTGCTGGTGCAGCGCGTAATCGCTCTTAGAACGGTCCATTCTTGGTTGATGGTCCTGCTCGTATGAATGGTTACTGTCGTAGTCTTGGTAGCGGTCAGTGTTCCAAGAGGCAGACCGCTGCTGCGAACCTAGATGGGCGGGCCGGGGGACGGCCGTGTAGGAGGCATTGGATGAAGAGGAAGCTGACGCGTACGGAGCGGATGATACAGAGGTGGCCGCGGAGAACGAAGCAGGGCGGGTACTACCATTATGGTGATATTGATCCGCATGTGAGGCCCTATAGGACGAAGGGGCTGTATCGATCGCTCTCTGAGCAAACGCTGGCTCTCGATTGTTTCTGTTCTGCGGTGAATATTCGCCGCTTGGAGAGGGAGATGAATAGCCGCTATTGGGGTAGCCATTGCTCCTACTGCCATTGGTGCCTGAGCCGTTGTTGCTGCTGCTGTTTTTGAAAGAAAGATGCCTTTCACGGTAATCGTCTGCCTCCTCTGTGATAGCACGGAGCTGCGTCTGCTGTGAATAATGCTGCTGCTGCTGGGATATACGGTCCTGTCGATGATGTTTAATGGACGCGTCGGCATTACGTCCATCTTCGCAAAGAAGGTTGGCGATATGGATACGCGAGTGGTGCTTGCCATCGATAGTAATAGATGACACGTTACCGTTGCGGTCATAGTCGTGATCGTGGGGCCGATAGGGGTACTGACGGTCATAGGAGTCCTCACGCTCTAGATTGGAATCGTGACCATGGCCATAGAACTTTGTGTGCTTGATGGGGGATATGGCCTGATCGAGGGTTGAGGAAGTGTGGGTGAGACCATTGGCTTTCATGGTGTTGTAAGGGAGGTCAGGGGGTGAGGGGATAGAGGAACCCTTGTGGAGTTTCGAGAGCGGGTGAGAAGCGACGGGTAGGGGAAAGGCCGAGGAGACGGTTGCGGAAGGGGAGTTAATGACACGGCCCGAGACAGGATCCATGCATGGGAACCGGGGTGAGGAAGCCGAGGACGAAGACGAGGCTGGAGAGGAGGGGCCAGGGGAGAGATTCCGAGAGGAGACACAGGAAGAGGAGGAAGGAGTGGAAAAGGTATTCTGGGAGTGAGAGTGAGAGTGAGAGTGAAGATGGGGTCTTCCAAAGGGCGCAAAGAGGTGTGAGTTTGAGGGCAGAGACGAAGATACGAGTGTGGGGGAAGATGCTGGCAGGGCAACCATTGAAAGACGGCGGCGATATATAAAAAAAAAAAGGAACGGGCGGGAAGGAGAGGAAAGAAGAGTGAGTGAACGAAAATAAATAAGTAAATAAGTAAATAAATAAATAAGGAGGAGGAGAGAAGAGGATTATGAAGACATTCAATTATGAGTGTATGAACGACAGGGGGAGAGAGAGAAATGAAAAGAGAGAGAGGGCGGGTGAAAGAGAGTGAGAAAAGAGATTGAGGAAAGAGAGTGGGAGTAAAAGAAAAAAGAGAGCAAGAGAGAACGAGAGGGTGCGGCAGAGGGGAGATGGAGGAGTGTCCGAGGATAGAGTTGGAGCGAGCTGGAGCAGGTCGAGCAGAAAAGTGTGGGTGGGGGAGTGAAGTGCTATGCGGCGGAATGGAAAGAGGGAAAGAGAGAGAAAGAGAAAGAGAAAAAAAAGAGATGTGAGTATGAGAGAGATATCTGAGCAATAAAAAAGGAAAGTCAAATAAAATAGCCAGAAAAGAAACAAATGAAAGAGAAGAGGCGAAAAAAAAAATACGCACTCGACTGAGAGACTGGAAGAAGAGCGCATGCACACGCACTCCACTTGGCTTCACTGCAACCCAACCCATTCACACACTACGGTACACTTGCGGTACACTGCATCGCATACAGATACAAAACACAACAAGCATGACAACAGGCACCTTTGCAGCAAATGAACACCATCGGGAGAGTGCATAGTGAGAGCATGTTGGTTCACAAGATATAGACTACTGTATCAATATTGTACTAAAGATCATGCCAATCATGTTCCTTGTCGGGTTACAAACCGCAGAAGAACTGGCTGGGGCTTATTGCAGTCAAGGGGGAGGGATCCTTTCCTTGTGCACACCCGTACACTCCCCCTTCTTCCCTTCCTGTCCAACCATGGTCGAATGAATCGGCAATGGGTCACTCGCCTTTTCCCTTTTAATATATGCGTTCGTATACATGTGTGTTTATGGATAAAAAATAAAACAAACAAATACAGTAGAAAAAAGAGCACAACCTGTCATTTTTCGATTGCTGCTTTAGCATCGGCGTTGACTGTCGCGACTTGTAAGTCGTAAGGCTCCAGGGTCAGGAGGAAACTATTTAGGATAACTGAGCGATGATAGTGGTGCTAGAAAAAATAAAGGATAGGGTGAGGCGGCATGCGTAGAAAATGGACGTGGATTGGGCGTGTGCGTGATGTGATGGCATGCAGGTCCATTGAAAGAAGGGCCCAAAAAACCCCCCGATAACCTAGGCATTGAACACCCTGTGATAACCAGAGCCTGTCAAAAAATATATTATCATCATTTGTATTCTCAAGAACACTGCACAATACAAAGCCGAGGTGTACTTCAAAAAGATGACGGTAAAAAGTCCCTGGCGAAGGATAGAAACGATGCTGTCATCTACCCTTTTTCCTTCCGCAACTTACTCCAACTTACTCCTTCTAGACCACATCACGCATCCACATTTCTCAATGTCCGCGACCAAGTAAGTATCCGATTGATTTTTTTTGTTCTCATGTGCCATGCATGGTACAGAGTTGCGTATGAATAGCCTACTGTACATTTACTTATTTCTAGGGCAAACTTAACGCAACCAAAAAAAAAATCCATGGGCTAGATCAGCCATTGATTGCTAAGCAACGCTCTCGTATCCGATGCTATAGCACATTTTGTACTCTCGTTCTCTGCAAAAAGAAGTTCCGTACGGACGGCCGATGAAAACGAGATCATATCAGATATTAAAATGAAGAGGGAATAGGCAGCAAAAATATTGACATCAACAGGGAGATCTATAAGCATGAGCGTAAACAGCAGCATGAGCAAACGACGTGTTTGAAGAGTTGCAAGCGATTAATAAATTCTCCCGCAGATGTCGGTAGTCCGTCTATCTCTAACTAAAGCATGGGACAAGATCTCCTTCTCGTCGTCTCTCTTATTCACAAGGCATGTACCGAGATCAGGCGGAATTTTGAGCAATCTGGAACATCGAGTCGATACAACGAAGATTATAGGAGAGGCGATGAAACGAGTGGCGTAAAAGAAAAAAAAAAAACGTTGATCACCGAACGTGAGAGTAATAAAATGACCTGTGAGCAAATAAGGAGTGAGGTTCACGAAACATCACCAGCGCGGCTATGGGGCTTTTCAAGTGCTGTCTTTGCCGGCATGAAAGGAGGCGAGATTTGCTCAAGCTTGGGTATACTTTACCTTGTATAGGAAAGAGTACGAGAGATGAACACAGAGATCAGCTGGTGCCTGTATTTTTGGGTGGACCAAAAAAAACCTTCTTGTTAAAGCGAATGCTGCGAAGGAGGGGATGGTAAAGTGTGCGTGACGGATCAAGATGGGTGGGATGGCTGGGGGGAACGAAGGGCAGGAAAAAGTAAAATGAAGCCAAGAGGAGCTGCAGGTTATGCGTGAAAAAAGGGAGGGAAAACAACAACAAAGGACACTGCGGGTGGGGAAGCAAGCATGCATGTCTCTTTCTTTCTTCTCTGCTCTATTCATCTCGTCAGTCGTTTCATCTGTACCCTCCCAAAACTATCGACAGCAATAATAAGCTCCAGCAAAGAAAATATGTACAGGATGGCTCATAAGCCCGCACTAGACTAGACCTATATCGGCACTTGTTCGTATATACGCCGCAAAATCGCCGTAATAGATTGTACAAATGAAAAGAGGAGAAGCATTGACGAGTGAGCAGAACGGCCGCGATTGCGTGTGGCAGGTTTCGTGGTGTCACCAACGTAACACTACCGCAAAATGAACAAATGAACAAATGAACAAATGAACAAAATGAGGTTAGCAATCTACGAGGACGCTCACGGGCTGAAAAAAAAAGACTAGGCCATTGTATGCGAGGGAACAAATGACGACCAAGCATTGGCAGGACAGAAGATTCAGGGGAGACAGCATCGGAATCGGAAAGAAACGCGCAGAGCAGTTCGCGTCCCACTGCAGAAGTTTGTCTGACAAAAGGGCTTAATCTTAAGCGTTGTGTGGGGCAAACGGAGACACTGGGCTTTGCATGCATGCAAATTGTGAGCGGCCCTTCACTGAAAACAACAGCAGCAGGACAGGAATGGCATCATCAGGCAGAGCACGATCCCCATAGAACCAACTCCGCCTTTGTATGTTAAAAAAATGACCAAAATGATCTGCTCAGCGTCGTCTGCTTTGTAACCGAAGGGATTCCGAATGTGCGTTCTTAGGACCCGAGCGCCATCAACAATATCCTCCCTTAAATACCTTGCGCCAAAGAAAAAGCAATACTGAATGGTCCGTGCCGTGAAGACAGCTGTGTTTGCGGATTCCAAGGATAAAATACTGTCATACGTATCTAAACGTGGCCCGTCATTCCCTGATACTTATCCACCTATAACCTCCGCGTCTTGTAGATGATCTCGGTGCATTGTTCCAAGCGGTGTGTTATGGAAAATTGAGGCCTACCCACCTCTATTGCCCATTATGTTTTCTTTGTTTCTGTACGCTCGTTCAGCCCTGCTCGTATAAATGTTTACATAGTCCGTCTCAAGATGTCTCTGACGGATGCAACTGCGACGCGTCAGGTAAGGGATACGAACGACTCCTATCCTTATCCGCGTCATGTTCAAAAATCATTAGGTATGTGGATGAGAGTTACGGTATCTGCCTTCCATTAACCCCTTGCTTGATAATATGGCGGTCGGCGGTCGAGCGTGGCATGGTAATCTAAAGGGGGCTTTATGTAATGCGATTTGCTTTCAATAAATGGTTCTTAACAAAGACATGTTCGTTGAAAAAGTCCGCTCAATATTCTATTATGCCTTTTTTTTTTTTTTTTGGCAAATAATAAAGTTTCTTTGTAAGAGCTAAGCAAAGGAGATGTACAGTACCGATGAGCATAAGCTGCATGATCTTGTTTGCCTTGGGGTGGTAGCAAGAGCTCCAGGAACACAGTTCTCCCGCTCTTTTTGCAGCTCTTGGATGCGACATGTACATGTATATGCTTCAATGTACGAAGATATCCTTCAGGTGGCAGGTTAGTATTGCGACCATAGACGATCGAACATGTAGACACCGACTCGTGGCATGGTGATAGTCGCCGCACTGCAGAGTACCGTCATTTTGCACATCCTCCGTGGCGTCTCAAGGATATTGTCTAGCGCTTAAATCAGTCGCCTGACTGAACTAAGAGCTTGGGCTAACGCAGTAAGTTTTTCTACCTCCTGCTTGGCCTTTTCGAGCCTGCAGTCGCTGCAGGTTTGCTGCGCGCCAGTAAGATTTCGCCAACAGAATACACGTGATGCAGTCTCCATGGTACCATGGCGCCTGGACACTTTCCTTGATACACCGTATCCCTCAAATTGGCCTCGCAACCTATCACTCTCAGGATGGCCGAACTCCCTGGGACCGCATTGTCAAGGCGGGTGTCACAGGATGGCAGGAGAGCATATTCGAACCAGGACAACCTTGCCTCGGACTACACCAGCACACTGATTGCATCGTCGACGCATTCGGAAGTCGAGGATGAGCACTACTCGGACGATGCCTCCATCCCGACTTTTGATGTCTCAGCCTTGTCAGCGGAGAAGAATTGTAATCAACTGAGCCCTGATATTGGGAACATTAGCGAATCCATAGCGCGATCTTCACTTCAGCCATACGATGGCCTGCGTCAGAGTACTCAACTCAGCAACCAAGCTCGAGCCACACAGCGCGAGAATGAACATCGACGTCAATTGTCTCGCACTACCACCAATTCACAGGACAAGCATATCGCCAATCCAGCTGCCGTCAACGGAGGTATTCGGCCCTGGGTTTTACTCCTCATCTTCTCCCTTGTCCAGATGCTCCTTTCTTCCACTTTACCCTCCAATGGCGTCAATGCGTCTTCATCCAGTCAAGCAGCAGATCCCGTGGTGGGTAACGGAGGCAGCGGCAACAGTGCTAGTGGAGGAAACACTGGAGCATTTAATCAGCAGTACTTTCGCCAGCTCCCACCGATCACGGATCCTTCTACAGCAGCAGGCGCGATCGTGACTCAGAGGATGACGGAATCTCGGCGACTATTGTTGCGGAACGAGGCCAAGGAGATGTTTATGCATGGATACCACGGTTATTTGAACCATGCCTTCCCGAAGGACGAACTCAACCCTGTGGCCTGTACGGGGCGTGGGTCCGATCGAGAAAATCCCAATAACATCAATGTCAATGACGTGTTGGGCGACTACTCCTTGACGCTGATCGACGCCCTTGATACTTTGGCGGCTATGCGAGAGCCGGAGCTGTTTCGACAAGCAATCCATTTGATCAAGAGACATGTTCATGATTTCGACATCAACAGTCGAGTTCAGGTGTTTGAAGTCAACATTCGGGTCCTTGGTGCATTGCTCTCTGGACATTTATATGCCTCGGATCCGATTTTTAAAAGTGTGGTCAAGGGGTACAATGGAGAGCTACTGACGATGGCAGAAGACCTGGGCAAGAGGCTGATGAAGGCCTTTGAGAACACACCAACAGGTATTCCTTGGCCACGAGTGAATCTCAGAAAGGGGGTGTCGCTGGAGGAGTCAGTCGAGACATGTGTTGCAGGCGCAGGCAGTCTGTTGCTGGAATTTGGAGTGTTGAGTCGACTTACAGGTGACAAGAGCTATGAGGTAGGAAAATTAACTATATTTACTCTGTGTTCATGGATGTGGTTGTTAGACTCGGTCGAGCCTTGCCTTGAAATCTGAATTCCATTTACGCATTTACGAGTACTTTAGGAAGCAGCCAAGAGAGCACTGTATGAACTGTGGAGTAGAAGGTCAAAGATTGGGCTCATGGGCAACACAGTAGATATCACCTCAGGACAATGGATGTCTGCGATGACAGGGATCGGTGCTGGCACGGATTCCTTTTATGAGTACCTCTTGAAGTCGTACGTGCTATTTGGGGATGAAGAGTACCTGGACATGTACGAGACTGCACAGGATGCGATCCGGCGGAACCTCCTCCACGACTCCAAATACTTTTACAAGCATGTTCACTTGGAAGACGGGAGCCTCATGGCATACTGGGTCGACAGCTTGTCAGCATTTATGCCAGGTGTACAGGTGAGCAACAGGCATACGCAGATATATTATTTTGAGGGAGTATCCAGCTAACGCGTGTATCGATTGTCACTTGAACCGCAGGTGCTTGGAGGAGATTTGGAGAGTGCCATCAAGAACCATCTGTACTATTACAACATCTGGCGGAAATATCAAGCCATACCGGAGAGGTTCGACTTTGTACAACAAACAGCAGTTATTTCGAACTACCCGCTGCGCCCAGAGTTCATCGAATCCAATTACTTTCTCTACAGAGTAAGTGTGCTTATCTTTTTTTTTTTTTTTTTTTTTTTTTTTTTAACCCCCCTCCATCTCCCCCTGTTTCCGATTGTTAACGGTTGGCTGCAGACAACAGCATCCTATCATTTTATTCATTCTTTTCTTTCGATTCTTTGCCTTCGTTTATGCTAGGCTACAAAAGATCCGTTTTATCTGGAAGTCGGCGAAATGATTCTGCGGGACCTTCAGACGTACACCAAAACCAAATGCGGCTGGGCCTCTCTTCGGAGCGTCATCGACAAGAAACTCGAGGACCGCATGGAAAGCTTTGCGCTGTCAGAGACAATCAAATATCTCTACCTTCTCTTTGACGAGGAGAATCTACTGCATCAGGAACTCAAGGATTCGAACTTTGTGTTCACAACTGAGGGCCACGTCTTGCGCTTGTCCTCCAAGTATTTGGGCGCGAACTACCGCCTTGAGCGGAACATCACTGCGGATAGCAGCTCGGCTGGACCCACTGACCCACGGCATCAATACCCTCGTCAGCATTACAACAAGCAGTTCTTGGCAACAGCAGTACACAACGGCCAGCATGGGGAGGGTGTTAAGTTTGGGCCCATGTGCATGGCCTACCGAGCTCCGGAAACATTCCTCAAAAGTATACCCTACAGACCGGACGCGGATTTTGCGAGGCAGATGGTGGGTGTGCGAGAAGACTATAGGGATCTATTGCAGGTCGATCCCAAAGGATTCTGCGAAAAGCCGACGCTGGAAGTTGAGCGCGTCGTCGTGGAATTCTTCGGGCCATCAAAGAAGACAATCTTCGAGGACGATGACCAACCCGAAGACGGCGTCGGAAACGAGAAGTCGAGGAAGCAGAATAACACAGAGCGATCCAAGGAGTTGATGGTGATTCCTATCAAGAAGGGTGTGTTTGTCAACCGGATAGTGGGCGTCAAAATGCAGATCCAGTACGACATCTCTCAAAATGGATATCGTGCTGTCAAAGGTGCGGTTAAAGATGAGGTCTAGATACGTTTTAGTCCACATCTTTCCAATATGAGAGGGTCCTATTAACATTTACGCTCTATCCGCTTCATCAAAAATTAGTGGCGGACTATCCTTTGAGCTCAAACTGCAATGTCTACATCGAGCAATCGTCGATGCAGCCCCTCTGGGATTCATACCAGAGATCGCAGGACGCCTACCTTCGGGTTTTCATGACTAGTGCTTCGCCGTCTGCCAATGTAGTTCACAAGGACCTGTCGACCGTACCCGCCGATTTCGGGTTCTGGCGGCCGAGGGTCCTCGACTACACTCAAAACTCGACTCCCAACACGCACGAGTCAACGATGGCGGATCACCTCGAGCAAACAATTCTAGAGCAGTTTCAGCAGCAGCCCATGATAGCGCCAACGTCAAGCAAGCGCATCGCCACGAAGAATTTAGTCCGCATTCATGAGAATGAAAAAGGCTGCCGTCCGTATACGACTCTACAGGCGGAACGCATCCGGGATAAGATGCTGATCGTTGATCGTGGCGGATGTCTGTTTATCTTGAAGGCGTATTACGCTCAGGCTGCAGGAGCCCACAGTATCGTGATTATCAACACAGAGGAGAATGTGTTTGCTATGACAGGCCCAAATGCCTCTGCAGCTGCCAATGGACCGACCAATACTGGTGACAGCAATACCGCTGACGCGCTAGGGGAGAGTATCAAAGATGACGAGATTGACATTCACGCAGTGATGATCAATCGTTCAGAGGGAGAGCAGTTGTTGGACTGGATCCGAGAGTACGAGACATCATCCGCATTCGCCTCGGCTACGGATGGCGAGAATAGGCCGCGGTTGGAGGCAGGATTTGTGCAGCGTAGGGTCACTAAAGAGCAAAAGGAGAATGCCCGGCTATCGTACAACAATCTGCCGATCATCAACGTCTTCTCGATCAATGTCCCCATTGCGACCTTTGGTTAAAAATAAAATGGCCATAGGAGCCATGTTGGTATTTAAATATATATGTACAATATTTAATTTCAAGCAGTGTCAAAGGAAAGGGAGAGAGCAAGAGGCTGAGGAAGGTGCAGATGTACAATGTGGAAGCCATGGTGAGAGAAGGAGGTTTTCGACGAAATTGAGAAGCTTGAAATGCAGGTAAGTTTGGTAGTCCAGCGCAATGCGACGGGTGTTATCTTGTAGGCTATCCCTGAGACTCCTGGCGAGGCTGAAAAGCATTCACAAATATTTCGAGAAGAGACCGGCTGCCAAAGGCAGGTCATAGAGCCCTCTACGCATATGCGACTTGCGAGCAGCCTCGTTATCCTCGACGGTGCTCTTCCTGATATCACTGACTAGGATATAGAATGCGTCTTTGTCCTCAGTCTTAATATCCGTAAGCGCAACAACCGGTGCCGCCTTCTTGTTCACCAGCGTACCCAGACGAAGCTTATTATCGACAATGGTGTACGGGACACCCTTTTTGCGACAGAAGCCAGGCAACCACATGACAATCTCTGAGGGCTCAATATCGGACGCGATAATCACTAACTTGGCCTTCTTGGCGTCGATGAGTGCCGCAACGTGGTTGATTCCGTGCTTTAGGACCTGGATCTTCTCGCACTCGACAGCCTCGCCATTCTTCTCCCGCTCAGCCTTATCCTTCATGCGCTCCTTGTTCTGTTTGCGAGTCTCAGGACGATACTTGTTCAGAAACTTCATGAGCCGTATAGCCACCTTCCTGTTCAAGGGCCGGGGTCTATTGCTGTAGTCGAGGTACTTTAAGCGCGGATCTGCCTTCGCCTTTTCACGCTTGAACCGAACATACTCTGGCCATCTGTCGAGGCCAGATTGCTCTGAACCTTCCGATTTGGATGTTTTGTCTTTGCCTTTGCCCTTGCCCTTGCCCTTGCTCTTGCTCTTGCCATTGTCATTGCCATTATCATTGTCATTGCTTTTGCTATTGTTTTTGTCCTTATCCTTGCCCTTGTCTTTATCCTTGATCGATGTCTCCTTGGGGGCTGCTGTGGTAATATTGTAATGACCGCTATGGAAATATGGCGGGAGAGCAAGAGCAGCCGCTAAGGCGTCGATTCGCTTCCTGGTAGCGGGCTGTATCGATAACAGATGCAAAAAGCAATACAAAAGGTGGTTAAGGCCGCAGTTCCATGTAAGTGCGTTGACAAAAGGATGATGTTTATGTGTATTGCCACCAAAAAAAAAAAAAAAAAAAAAAAAAGGTAACATTCTTTTCTGAGGTCCCCTGGAGTATATCCTTTCAAGAAAATGGCCACAACTGCCAGGAAGACGCGCCGAAATTTGATAGGGTGCTTCCTGAGGTTAAACGCCAAAAGAATGAACAGCTCCTTTTCGCCAAAACTGATTCCTGAATGGACAAGGCAAGGCGAGGTGGCCCTGAAGTGAAGTTGATGCGTACCATTGTGCATGCTGAGTTCAGAATGAAGCTGTGTGTGCTATTCCTCGTTGAGTGTTGGTGTTGAAGAATAAGGGAGCTTGAAAAAAAGGAGGGAGGACATGTTCATTTGTTCATTTAGGGAATGAAATTTTGGCGGGGAGGGATTGCAAGCCACTGGATCGAAGATCCTTTGTCCCTGAAAGAAAGACGGAGTGGTTCCCCACAGGAGGAAAGCACTCTCTGGGCGAGTGTGAGAAAAAAAAAGCAAGCGAGCGCCAACCCCAGAGATTCACTCCGCTCTTCCTTTCTTCCTCCTCTGCTCCATCTTCTCCACTCATCTTATTCTTCCATGGCCCACCTGCCCACGCGGTCGTTTCAGGCCTACCAGGTCTTTGCCGCCAACACAAACGTCGGTAAGACTATCCTCTCCACCGGCCTCGTCCGTGCCGCTGCTGCCTTGTCAATTGGCGCCGATAAGAAAAAGACAAAGGCATTCTACGTCAAGCCCGTGCAGACCGGCTATCCTGTCGACTGCGATGCCAGGCATGTTCATGTTCATGAGACTCATGGAGATTCCAGCTCATTGCTGGCTCGTGATTTGATCAGGACTAACAATTCGACTATGGCCCCCATAGGCATGTCAAGACATATGCGCCTCTTGTCGAAACCAGCCGGTTATACGCTTATCCAGATCCTGTGAGCCCTCACATCGCCACCAGTGAGGTAAGACAAAATGTATGGGGGAGTAATCTGCCCCACGCCTGCCATAAATCGCGACGAGGATTGATCATCTATTTTATGGCGCACTATGACTGATCGTCACTTTCCCCACAAAAAAAAAAAAACCTCCGTTCAATTACAGCCTCCGCCAGACACGGAGGTCCTTCAGGCTACCATCAACTCAATCCGCACCTTCAAGCAGAGTCTTGGACAGACAGACAAGGGATGGGCGCTCCTCGAAACCGCGGGAGGTACGTGTTTTCTCAAATGCGAATGAGATATTTTACACACAGTTTAGTCGCGTCTCTAATGAACCGATCCGAAATCTTGAACTATTACATCTGCTGCTCAAACTAACAAATCCGGTTCTTCTTGATGTATACACATAGGTGTCAACAGCCCGATCATGTCTGGGGAACTGCAATCGAAATTCTACCGCCCTCTTCGCTTGCCCACCGTCTTGATCGGCGATAGTCATCTTGGCGGCATCTCCACCACCCTGACTTCCTACGAATCACTGCACCAATACGGATACGATATTCCGGCCTTGATGCTCTTCGATAACAAATCAAGGAACCATCAATTTCTGGAACGTTACCTCGCCAAAGCCGAGAACCGCCCTCTGATCCATGTCTTGCCATCGCCACCAGAGAAACTTGCGGATCTCAAAGCAGATGCGGAGCAATTGCATGAGTACTACCGAAAGACGGAGGACTATTTCAAGGATGTAGTACAGGAGCTGGATAAGGCGCATCATAGCCGACTGGATCGGTTGGAGGAGTTGGCAGATAAGGCGAGGACTTCGATCTGGTGGCCCTTCACGCAGCATCAGACCGTCAAGGAGGTCACGGTGATCGATTCCGCTTATGGAGATATCATGACGACGTATGTCGACCCCAAGGAGAAAGCCGCCACAGGCGCCAACGGAAACCAGGAAGGGACCTGGAAAGAGATGTTTGATGGATGCGCCAGTTGGTGGACTCAGGGACTGGGACATGGATCTCCAGCATTGACTCAATCGGCTGCCTATGCGTCCGGAAGATATGGACACGTCATGTTCCCGGAGTGTGCACACGAGCCCGCTGTGAAACTGGCAGAGACACTGCTGGACACTGTTGGCCAGGACTGGGCATCGAGGGTGTTCTTTTCTGACAACGGAAGTACGGCAATTGAGGTAGCGCTCAAGATGGCGCTGAAGGCGAGTCAGGATCGATATGCCAACCTGGGTCAGGCCACAGGCCGTGTTGAGGTCATTGGTGTGGATGGAGGATATCATGGTGATACCATCGGAGCCATGAACGCGTGCTCGCCTAATGCGTATAACGCGCAGGTGACCTGGTACAAATCTCATGGTCATTGGTTCAGCCCGCCTACTGTGTTGTTCAAGGATTCACAGTTCCAGATCATGATTCCTGCAGAGATGACGAACAGTAAGGAACCGATGAAGATCACGACCGACAATCTCTCCTCGGTCTTCACAAAGCCTGCAGCAAATGATCCGCGATTGGAGATTTACCGCAGCCATATCCGGGAAACGCTGACGCGTTTGACCCAGCAGGAGAAGCGGTCATTTGGTGCGGTGCTTATGGAACCGGTCTTGATGGGCGCTGGAGGAATGATCTGGGTCGATCCTGCGTTCCAGAGATGTTTGGTTGAGGAAGTGAGGGCGTTTAAGGGATTCGGAACGGAGACCTCGCCTAGCAAGAACGCACATGTCCCCGTCAAGAACAACTGGAAGGGACTTCCTGTGGTCTTTGATGAGGTCTTTAGCGGCTGCTGGCGTCTCGGACGCAAGTCTGCGGCTGACATGTTGCAAGTGGTAAGTATTTCGTGTCTCTTTTTTGGTTAGTTGTTCTCATTGTTACGCGGATCAAACTATCGCGGTCATCTAAACATTTGATTTGCGACTTCATGCATAGACTCCTGACATTGCAGCCTACGCCAAGTTACTGACTGGTGGTCTGATTACTCTGGCCACCACCCTGACGACCGATGCGGTCTTTAACAACTTTTTGAGTGAGACAAAGACTGATGCCTTGCTTCACGGTCACTCTTACACGGCCCACCCCATCGGCTGCGCGGTCGCCAATACCAGCTTGCGGACCTACCGCCAGATGGAATCCCACGGCGATGCGGATCAGGCCCGCCAAGATTGGGGTGCTCAGCCCTATGGCAATTTGGGCGTCTGGAGCCTTTGGGATCAAAAGGTTGTCGACAAGATTTCGCGCATGGACATTGTCGAGGGTGTTGTGCCTCTTGGCAGTGTTTTGGCCATCCAGATGCGTGAGACGAACGGACCTTCCGGATACGCGTCGTTGCTGTCGCAGCAGGTGCAGAGGCGACTCCGGGAGAAGGAGCATGAGGATAGTGAGATGGAGGTTGCGGTCTTTGGAAGACCTTTAGGAAATGTTGTGTATATGATTGCGTCCCAAGTCTCGACCAGGGAGCAGCTGGCCAAGGTCGAGAACATTTTGTTGAGGACGCTCGAGGGTAAACTATAGAAAGTTCGTCTAGACTCACAGTATTAAAAATGATGTTTATTATGATTTATATTAGTGATGTTAGTAGAACGATAAAGAACTATTTACATGGCACATACACGACCACGCGATGGTTGAGATATGTTGATGCCTATTGCTGCTTAAATGGTCCATCTGCCGCGTCTCAGAGCAAACTTTTCCGCTTCGCTCAGAAGGATCAATATGATGCAGCCAACCACAACCTTGGCCCACGTCTTTCCGTAGACAGGAACCAAGTCCAAGACCCCGTTGAATCCGGGCGTGTAGATACCAATGATCATTAGCACGAAACTGGTCATCACACCGTAGACCATCCACCTGTTTCCGAAGACGTTGGTCCTGAAGAGCGACGTACGCATAGTCCGTGAGAGAAATCCCTGCAAGAGCTGTAGAGTCGTCAAGAACGTGAACGCCTCCGAGTGCGCGTAGCTAAGATGCTCCTCCGACCTATCTGCCCACATGTAGACAGCAAACGTCATGAGCATCATCGAGAAGGACTGGAAAATGATCACCAAAAACGACGTTGGGGTGACAATGCCACGCTTGGGGGAGCGTGGATTGCGGTTCATCAGGCCTGGTTCTGCAGGCTCAACTCCGAGTGCCATAGCCGGAGGTACATCGGCTATCGTTGTTTGACGGAACATCAATATATTGGCGCGTTAGGCGAGGCCCAAACCAAACCAACAACAACAACAGCAACAGCAGGGCAAGAGAATGAGATCCCAGACTACAATCTTACCGATGATGTTCGCCCACAAAATCATAGTGACGGTAAATGGCAGAGGCACGTTGACAATGGTGCACAGGAGAAACAAGAAGATCTCTGCGCAATTGCAGCTCAAGAGATAGACAATGAACTTGAGAATGTTGTCGAACACACGACGGCCCTCCTCGACGGCCTCGACGATGGTGTTAAAATTGTCGTCCGCTAAAACAATGTCAGCAGCTTGTTTCGTGATGTCCGTTCCAGCGATACCCATGGCCACTCCGACGTTGGCTGCCTTGATAGCAGGGGCATCTATGACAAGACGGATCATTCAAAAGTATAAGTAAGACGGTGGATAAATTTGGGTAGCAGCAGTTACAAATCGCCTGCACTTACCGTTGACACCATCTCCTGTCATGGCAACAGAGTCACCTCGGCTCTTCAGTGCAGTAACCAGCTTCAATTTGTTATCGGGCGAGACGCGGGCAAAAACGTTGGGGAAGGGCTTCAGTTCTGCAATCGCCTGTTCTGACAAGAGGTCCAGCTCCTCGCCCTTGATAGCGCGTCCACCATCCTCAAGGATACCCAGCTCTTTCGCGATCGCACTTGCAGTCTTGATATGGTCACCAGTGATCATGACCACTGTAATACCGGCTTGTTTGCAGATTCGGACACTTTCTTTGACACCTGCACGAGCAGGATCAATTAAGCCGATCAGCCCCAGGAATACCAATTCGCTCTCAGAGTAGCCCGGAGGGATTTCCTCCTCGTCATCGTCATCTCCCTGTGCTGCAACGTTTGCGGCTGTCATAAGGTCGACTTCTGTTAGCTTGTGTGTTGGAGGGGCTGCCTCTTTTACGTTCTTAACGTTGTCGATATTGTCGAGTCCGTCTCCGACGCTCTCACTTGGCGCTCCCCCTCCGTTGACCTTGACTTTCTTGAATGCCAATCCAAGGACGCGAAGACCATCATCGGCCATTCTTCCTGATGCCTCTGAAACATGGTCGTAAAACTCTTCCGTAACCGGCTTTGTCAGATCATGATCACTTGGTCTTAAGACTTCCAGCGGGGAAGACACTGCACCTGGCGCAACAGGTGGAAGGTAGCTAACACAACGGTTCAGGATCTCCTCGGGTGCGCCCTTAGCCAATACGAATTCATAATGCCCACCCGCTACGCCGGCATTGTCTAGTGGAGCCTTGTACACGACGCTCATAACCTTACGTTCACTGTCAAAGGCCTGCTCATAAATCCGAGTATATCCGAGCTCCTGAAAAAACGCCTTTGGAAATCCGGCCTTTTGTGCGGCGACAACCAGGGCTACCTCTGTCGGGTCGCCGATACCCTTCCACTCCACCTCTGACTGAGCAGCGCCTTCGGGCTCCATATTGTTTTCAGAGTTGATGTTGACCATGGTCTTAGCGTTGTCATCTTCGATTTCGTCTTTCATCACCACGGATGAGTTGTTGCAGAGTGAGGAGACCATGAGTGAGATCAACATCTGAGATGGTACGTCGTTCAAAGTCTTGCCCAACACTTGAGGCGTCTCTCCGGGGCCTGCCTTGAGAGTTACATCGCCTTTGTTGGGATCCAGACTGGTGCTTTCCGTGAATCCATACGCAGAACCATCACTTGTCCACAGTTCCGCCGCGCCCATCTTGCCCTCGGTAAGTGTACCTGTCTTGTCAGAACAGATGAAGGTGACGCTGCCCAAAGTTTCCACCGCTGGAAGAGTGCGAACAATAGCTTTCCTGGCAGCCATGCGACGAACTCCTAAGGCCATGGTAACGGTGACAACGGCTACCAAACCCTCCGGAATGACGGAGACAGCCAAGCTATAGATGGAAATGTCCTGTTAAAATTGTACTTACCAGCCGATTCTATACAGTCGCTCACAATAGACAAAATAAATTACCTCAACGCAAGTTTCAGCGACTCTCCGACCTCATGAGGATGATACGCGATTCTGACACCTGCCATGACAGCACAAAGAACAATGGCAAAGACGACCAGCAATTTGCCAAGCATGGCGAGTTTGCGCTGAACAGGTGTCAGCATTTTACCTTGACCAGTGATGGCGGCACTGATCCTTCCCATCTCCGTCTGACGGCCTGTTCGGACGACGATGCCCTTGCCGCGACCTTTGGCGACAACAGTGGACATGAATGCGTTTCCTTTGCAATCACCCAAGGGGAGTTTACGAGTAAGGGTCCTAATTTCCCTGGGATCCTTGTTTACGGCAACGGACTCTCCTGTAAGGATAGATTCGATGATCTCGAGCTGAGAGACCTCGGCAAGTCGCAGATCTGCGGGGACAGATTCTCCTTCTTCCAGAATGACGATATCTCCTGGAACAAGTTCCTCAGAATCAACGATCGATGTCGCTCCATCACGGAGCACTTGCGCCTTGGGGACAGAGAGCTTGGTCAGTGCGTCAAGAGCCTTGCCAGCCTTGTACTCCTGCGTGAATCCAATGATGGCGTTAAGTATTACGACGATCAAGAGGACGGCCATTGGGATAAAGTCCTTTGTGGCTGCCATCAAGACGGCGACCGCAAGAAGAAGAAGGATCATGAAGTCCGTGAATTGCGTCCAGATCATCTTGAAGACGGAGGTGGTGGGGGGTTGCGGTAGAACATTTCGTCCATAATGCTCACGTAAGGTGAGTATAACCTCCGACGGCAGTCCAGTGTCGAGCGAAGTTCGGAACATTTTCAGGCATCGCTTTATCCTACGATCGAAGCAAAGGGCTAATTCGAGTAGCAGTAGAACGGTTAGAAAAGGCACCGTCTTTATATCATCGGTATCGTCCAAAACAACAAGAAAGCGCGTTTTGCAAAGTACCTTGAGGCGCGAGAATGACGCCAGGCATCTCAGGCATCTTCTCGGCCTTGACGAAATCGGCATGCTCTCGCATGCATTTTTGCACGCTCGCTTGGCTCTCGCTCTTGACCAACTCTCTCCAGTCTGAGAATTGGGGGTAGATGGTTGTCAAGAGAGCGATCAGTGCTACCGCGGACTGTTGCTCCTGTTCTGTAGACCCAGAGCCGCAGCGGACGTCCAGTTTAAGGGAATGACGCAGATCCGACACCGGCTTCTCTCCCACAGCCTGACGAAACTCTTGGACTATTTTGGTTGTAGAGCGTGTTGCATTACTATTATATGTTTGCTGCCTGAGTACATCATATAGGCGCAATGCTATGTTCTGTATGGGCAACGTACCTTCTAGGAGGAACTCTCCAAAGAGTTGAAAGGCAACATCGGCCTCTTCCGACAATGATTGATGGAAACGGCCCTTTTTTGCATAGTGGCCCATGTTCAGCAAAAGACCATCAGCGAGGCGCTTCATAATGTCGTAGTCGAGACTGGGAAAGCGGCCGCCCTTGATGCGGTACTCCATGACGTATCGCAGCCCATCCAAGATCTCCTCGAGTGAGATTTCTTTGTTACTCTTGACGTCGAAGAGATCGACGACTGTAAGGGTCAGGGATCGGTATGAAGGATTACAAAGGATAGAGTGTCGGGCATAAAGATCAGTCAGGATCCAGGTGGATGGCAAAGATGGTAATAGTGTTGATAGCAGTGATGATGGACATTTGGAAAAGCAAGAAAGCGTTCATGGGACAAGCCATGGGATTACAAAGAGGCAGTAAGCGTGGGTTAGATAGTGCAGCTGAAGTGTTTGAACATGCGTGGATTGCAGGACATTCCAGGTCAATAACTTACCGTTGATGTCGATCTGGTGTTCAATACTAGCCTATAGTTGAATGGGGCGAGGAAAATATTTCAGGTGAGTACTTACTATCGTATCTACACATTCACGAGTCATGAGCTAGGAATGATTGTTGCTCTGTCGGTGCTGTTCCCATGGCCAACAAAGGCCACACCTTGCCATCCTTGATGTTGGAGTAGATGGAGTATCCCTCCGCATTCGAGGTACTGGCACCAGGCAGTGCAGCGGGGATGCCCTGGACAGCCTCGCTATCTAGATTGGCGGCAAAGGAGAGGCGCTTGCTGGGGGAGTGAGCTGGATCGGCGGTGGCATTGCTGTGGAGGATCGGGGGTTTGCTATCAACCATTCAGATAGATGTAATTGTTGTTTGCTGCTGCTTTTGTTGCTTGGTTGTGAGGATGAATGCGATTTGCTTCAAATGAAAATCAGGAAAGGAATGGGAAGGAACAAAAGGAGAAGAGAAGAATTCGACAGCGGGAACATGGTTCTCTTTTATGACGGACAAGACAAAGGCAAAGCAAGACATGGCCATACCTTTTCATGGACTGACACCTGTAACATGTACGTTGACTGGAGGTCTCATATGTTGACGCACCTGTACGACAATTAAAGTTTATGGTTGGGGCTGTGTGTTCTGTGCGTCCGCTTCCACTGCTTCCATGGTTTCCTTGATTTCTGTGAAAAAATTCTCAACTGATAGGCATTGCTGCATGGCGAGAGGGAACAACCCTTGTCCGGAGACCATCTAGTGCCGATCTGCAATGGTAAAGGGGTCATATTCGTCATCCTTTCGTTATTGCTGTTGGTGCCGCTACAAGTCGCCCCTGCGTACAACATTCCTTACTCCATCAACATACGGTATTTCTCTCGAGGGAGCAACGCTGATGAACACATCGGTTCAATCAAATTGCCCTCGCTACTAACAGCGGCCGTCATTGGAGTCCTTGTAGGACCCTGCCTTTGAGTTCATTGGACTGAAACATAGTCTTTCACCTCAAAGCGGTAGCTGGGGCATTCGTGCAGGAGGTTTTGGAAGTCCATCTATTTTTATACCTAAACTCATCCCTGATATCTTTTATTGTATTTGGATCGGGACTTGGCACTCTGTAGCATTGCTCTGGTCCTCATACGCTCGAGATACGACGCAGCCTCGTGCGAGAGTGGCAGGGTTGGATGTGGCGATATATCCTGCTGGCCCTTTTCCCAAGGGCGATCAGAAGCACGGGTGTGAGACAACGGAGACAGTGACGATGCGAGAGTTGCTGCCTGCAGCATGTCCCTGTATTCATCCTTGATCCTTTTCAGGTTGCAACTCAAGTACTCTGTCATGTCTGAAAAGTTATAGCTAGGTTAGAAAGCAACTTTTTTCGCAGTAGTAAACATAATAAACCGTTACATAGTTGATCCTTACCATGCTTGGACATTTCTTGATCGACCACAAGCATACCCTTGATAGATTGACCGTTGTGACCATGCGAGACCTCTGTTCGCTCTTTTTCAGAACTCAAAATCATGACAGGAACCTTCCTCCACCAGTCGCCAATATGGAATGACGTTCTCGACGGTTGCTTGTTACTGAGAGATCCTTCCAATTGCTGGTCCTCCTCTTGCCAATGGATCCAGGTCCGAACCACTTTGCTTAATCGCGAGGCTGAAAGCTTAGGACTTTTGAAAAGCAGTTGGTTTGATTTAATCATCACCTGGGCATCCAATGCTGTTGCAGTACCGCCGATCTTGTCGAGATGCGTCGAACTGATGTCCTCGTTCATAGCCTGGTCGCTAACTCCTATTCCAGATTCCGCAAATGAATTCCGAAGATCTTCCTCAAAAACTTCTGAAAGAGGTTTCTGTGGGGCGCGATGCCGATTCGACTGCGTTGTTGTTGTTGCCTCCTGGATCGACTGGTCAAGATGCTGGACAACTTCCTGCTGATCGATATCTTTGACTGATATATCTACTTTTTTGCAAAGGTCGAAGAATGACTGCACCATTTGCCATGACTTGGCTTCCTGCTCTAGAGCCTCGCCCTTGGCACTTCTACCATCGCTCGACATAGTTATCTGGAGATCGAGTGCGGGTAGTGTATGTTCCACAAATTTGAGATCACTGGCAGTTGGATCGAGAGTTGGTGCTTTTGGAGGATCATTTGAAGATCGAGGCGATGAGGATTGATCGTTTTTCGGCTTTAGATAGAACACTAGTTTTGTCGGTGAATTGGTCCCGGCAGGCGAAGGGCGCAGGGTCGCTCCCCTGTTGTTTTCGTGGCCGACCAAGGGCAAGAGGTCCTGTAGCGAGGCACTGTTCTGAAGCTGCTCCTTTGGGTGGTTTTGAAAGAGATCTGGATGAACTTTTCGGAGGAATGACTTTAAGTACTGCTGAATGTAATCCTGCCGGAGATCTCTTCCTGCTCTCTTGACGATGTTGCTTCGCATGACTTTGATGATCCCTCACAAAACATAATGTATGAGCGCCTTCATAGCCAACCCAAAATGAAGGCGCCATGACTGTCTTTTTCAACTGTGGTCTCTTTTGCCGCCAAAATCGATATTCGACCTTGACGAACCACTTTGACATCGACCTCATCCTAAGCATTGTCATAACTGCAGCACTACGGAAGCAACTAAGCGAGCAACGAACGAACAGACAGGGCAAATGCTTGGTCTTCTTGGTCTAAACACTGGCAGCGGCTCGTTCAATACCTCATTCCTCGGACTCTTCAGGATCGCAGCATTCCAACCTGTGCGATTCACCTACCAGGCACTCTTCTTAAGCCTGGCCAAGGTCCTATTCCGCCCTACAACCGTGCTTATTATCGCGGTACTATCCTTCATTGTCTTTGATCTGGACTTTGAGGTCGTGTGGGAAGAAGGCGACGAAGACGACGAAGACGACGAAGACGACGACCAGCTCTGGGAGGATCCAGCAGACTTTGATCGCCTTGGAACATAGGCAGCAGCACATTTATTTCGGTACCATGGGATCATATGCGAAACCAAGAGGCATGTCTGGCGCGAACAAGATCTGGAGCAATGCTGTTAACACGCTACTAAGCGCTATGGGTAAGCTATTTATGGGTGTTGCCGGCCGATTATGCTGTACACGTTGACGGTTGATCCTTACTACGTTACTGCAAACGTCGTTCTGCTATTAGAGAGCATCCTGATGGACGAGGATCTTCAACCTCTTTGGCCACGCGAACACCATAGCCAGGACTCGAAAAAGAAACGTATGTGTTGGTCATCATTATCTTCATGGAGTTCGCCGCTGATTCCAGCTAGACTCCATCGTGCTCAAGACAACTAACAATCCTGTGTGATAACGTAGACCAGTTGCCCCCTACACCACCCATATCTAGTCCTCATGATCCCACTTTCTCCTCTCCACTCAAACGCAAGAAAGACTCATTCTCGCTATCGGATCGTACCAGCAAGTCGCAGCGCATGACCGATCATCTCACAGCCCGACTTGCATCCAGCCTTCACGTCAGCTCGTCCACGGACACGCAGAACGCAGCCGGTAGTTATCAGACTGGACTTGAAAACTCGCGTGGCTTTTATCGCTTGCAAGACCCAATGGGTTCGCCTCATTCTCTCCAAAGGCCTGAGCAGCAAGCTCAGCATCACCCTGCAAGCATCGTATCGTCAGAGCCACGAAAATACCGAAAAGCTGCTAGAAATCGCTCGAACCCTACTACACCGGTCAGCAGCCATCCTCCAAGTCCAAGCCCGGGATTCCTCTCACACGCTAGTGGCGATGATTTGTTCTCGTCCTTTTCTTCGACTTCGAGCCCCTTTGTAATGTCTGCACCGTCGTCTGGTACATCATTCGAGTCGTTTGCTCAGAACACAGCGTCATCTAATATTTTTCTGGACCCCAGGAGATCATCGCAGTCCAGTGGACTGCTTTTGAGGCGCGAAGGCCGGACAGGGCAACAGTTTCTTCGATCGTCTGCTCATCATTATTTGGCCATGGCAACTAGACTCGCTCTCTTCCATCGAATCGTCTCGACTACAAAATGCACATCTACTCAGTCAAAGGATATGAGGGCTTGGATCATGGAGCAAGCGTCCAAACGTGGATATCAGAACCTCCAGGCGTTCGAATCTATGATGATCTCTAACGCAAAGGTTTTGGTAGCGGCTTTGGGCTCTCTGGGTGACGGGTTTTCGCAGATAGTGAACCAACAGTCCTTCTCGCATATGCCTACTCAAAGTCAGGATCAGGAAATTGCAGTTTATAATACTATTCAATCAACAGTTGATACAATCCTCGAGAGTGCTCAGTGGCTCTGCGGACCAGATTTCGAGATGGGCATTAACCGTATATGCCCTCAGTGGTCCGTACACGAGGGATCGATTGAGCAGATCGTACATTATGTGCAAGTGGTGGAGAGCATGCGGGAGACATTATCGGGTCGGTTCCATCATCCGCAGGACTTATCCGAGGATTTGACGCGATCTCAGGAAGTAATTGACTACCAGAGGACACTGTTTGGAGAGGCGCTTCGGAACCATGGCTTGGAGTGGAGAGCATTAGGCTTACCAGCGATGGAGGAACTTATCCAGGGGACGCAAGACTGGATTTTGAATCTTGCCAAGATGCTGACCATCAAGATCAGGGGCGAAGTGAACCTTGCACTGGAGAGTGCTGTCCACACCCAATCCACATCCAGTCCCTCCGAGATGGAGATGGAAATGATGGACGACGACGAGGGCAGCTTATCAATGGGTCGTTCAGTTACGGAGGCAATGGATTTGGTGCTTCAAGGTGCGTTGTTATCAAGATCTTGCCTTGAACTGGCCGGGAAAATATGTCCGATGCTTGTCACTGCCTGGGTGGAGTTGACCAGCCAATACTGTACATTTGCGCTTGCCAAGCGAAAAGAGCATGTCTTGAAGACAAGCAAGGCGTCGGTTGGTCATATTAGGAAGCTGGCGAGCCCTGGTAGCCCCTCTCTAGTAGCGAGTCTTCGCAGGCAACAGCAGCATCAACATCATCCGCCTACTAGCCTCAGTCGACGAGTGTGCTTGAAAACGATGGAGCTTTTCGAAAACGTTAGCCGATTATTGCAGTGTGTGATGGAGATGCATGAAGAGGAGGAGTACGATGGACAAGGATCCGGCACCTCAGTAGATGGTTTTGGCGGACAGAGTGAGCACGATGAACACAGTACGTGCCAAGGAGCTAGTGGGACCTCCAGTGATCAAGATGAAGCCATGGATATCATGTCAGGATCGCCGAGCTCAGTATCTTTGCATAGCGACAATACATCTTACCAGCACCATCACCAACAACGTCTCCCCCGCGCGGCTATTCAAAATCAGCGGCGTACACCTGTTGATCCAACACTGCTTCAACGGCGGATTGCTATGGAATCTTTATCCTCAGTACTCGTGGAGACGGGTCTCGAGCTTTGTGAGTCAATGGCTGAAATTCTTGGCTGTGGATATCAGAGCACGTCGACTTTTTCGAGTCCATCTACCAGTCTGCCTGCGATACCATCATCCATGGCCCCCGCGCCGTTCAATGGATTCGGTGACACCACGTTCCTGACATCGTCATGGACACCATCGTTCGGAACAGTATCGCTCCCATCAGGATCTACAATGATGTCCTCGTCTGCTCGTGCTGCAGCTGCCATCACGTCTCTAACAGTATTTGCTGGTAGTGGAGCTATGGCTTCAGGCACTGGTGGCATTGGTCTGATCTATGTCCAGTTTGTGGTTCGATTCATGAGTAAGATTATCGAATTTGCTGGGCTGGACCCACATCAGGAACAGCGTCTTTTGGTAAGCAACCAGTTTTTTTTGCTACATCTATGGATACTATTTCTTAGGCATCGGTTGCTAACGCGTATTAATTCCAACAATGTTACAGAGAATCCATACAAGTCTACAGAACCTAGAACTATCGCTCTCTTCTTCGTAATCATCATATAAAATAAAAAAAACTCTGAATTGGTGGCGCATTCTGGCTCTTCACTGTGACTTTTTGAATCTGGCTACTCATTTTTATGTTCTGAGGGCACCAAGGACGCTCCCAGCAAAGAATTCTGTACTATGACCACGGTAGAAGCACCCAGCAATGCAGCACTGATCGCGAACCTCGAGGATCAGGTTCTTCAGCTAGCCGATTATGAAGCATGGCTAGATTCTCAGATTCGGGAACTAGAATACGCTGACAGACAGGGTTGGTAGCATCTGTTGGGAATGTCAGGCAAGAACACAGCTGGAATGGGAACTCATGCTCAAGATCCTCTCCTCTTTGTCTACAGACGCGACAATTATATCAAGTCAGGATGGTTCAATCGAAGACGCGCGGAGAGAAACCGAACGGAGGGTTGATCTTCTCAAACAGGAGCTGCTTACAGCCGCGTCCATGGAATCTATCCGGACAAAAGTTGTTGACAGGTACGGGCATCATCAAGAAACGCGTTCTCCTCTCAACACTGCACGAGGGAGAACCTAATTAGGGACCAATATCTGTACAGCTCATATGCATACCAGGTGATTTTAAAAAGCTTGTTCAAGGCCGAGCCGGATCCTGATGATAAGTATGTTTTGCGACGATGAAAAATGCAGTATACTTGGATCAAAATCACGGAATACAAAGAAATAACCATGCTTCGCCTGAGCTTCATTAGATTGATCGCAGCTGGGGTTCAGGAGCGGGATGAGGCAGTATCTGAGTATTTGCATATCCATCGTGATCTGCAGCATGCAAGGCGGGACCTGTCTGCGACGCAAGTTCAAGCCCTAGGTTCGTGAGGATCGAGCGGCTTGTTGGTGAAGGATGATCTTGTTATACATATACTCAAGGCTATGGCTCTACTAAACGCAGCATTTATTCTGTATTGTTGTTTCATTCTCCAGATTACCAGGATGAGAATCGCAAACTCGTTCAGCTGTTATCGCAGGAAACAGCGGCTATGAAGGAAGCAGCGACGTCGCAGGATTCTGGAAGCAACCGACGCATGCTTCAGAAGTACGCCAAAAAAAAAAAAAAAAAAAAAAGGACTCAGTGATGGCTTCAGCCAAAAGTTTTACTTGCAAATACTCACTCCTTTGGTATTGGCGTGTCATGATAGGGTTGAAGAGGAATTGAGGAATATTACTGTCAAGCATAATGTCGTCTCGAACGTTCTCCAGGTCAGTGACAGGAAGCTTTTGAACAAGGATTGAGTAATGCCGCATGCTGTGTATAGGCACGTAATTGATCAAGTCTTTTCCCATTTGCCCATTTTTTTTTCTTTTCTTTTGATGCGGAATAGGGTCTTATTCTGGAGAGTGGTATAGACTGGGCCAATGACCCACACTATCTAGAATTGATGTTAAAGCTGAAGCGGTCTGCAGAATAAATATCATTGCACTCATATTACAAACCCTGTCTTCATGGAGTGAAAGAGTCCTCGCCAGTAAGTAACACCCCATATTTATAGAATACAATTTTTAATTCAAACCAGATATATTTTTCAATAGCTACTTAAAAGTAAAACGAACACCTTCCCGATAAGGCAAACACACAGCGCACACTTTCTGTGTAAGGCAGAACGAACCGTACGCGTTCAAACCTGAAAACGAACAGTTCGTTTCCAGCGTGCAGAATCTTCATGGACCAATTGCTTGGCCTACAGGTTTGCGGCAGTGATAGGAGTAATGGCGTTAGATAGATATTGGCCAAGGCTTCCCTGCTGTAGGGTCGGATGGCGCCAGGTTGGATGTTGGCTGCCCAGTCAGACATTCGAATCCGAGAAGTCTCCCAAAATATTAATAACCATGCGGCATCCGAAGTTCCATGCAACATCCGAAGGCTTTAAGAAGATAAGTTGTTGTCATGACAGCTCTGTTAAAAAACATGATGACAAATGGATGCTGGACTCAATCAAAGAATGTAATTAACTTTCGTCCTTTGTGAGCCCCAGGTGATCTATTGCACTGTTTAAATTTCATTTGTCAAAGACCCTGACTATGTATCTGGGGATAGACTTCATGGTATCCTTTGTAATTACAATAAAAATAACAATTTTTTTTAAACTATTCGGTCTGTCTTCAGAGTACATGGTGCTGCGATATACTTGGTCAGGAAATAAAAGTATTCCTTGCAGGTTTACTTTTTTTTCAGCAAATAGAACAATAGAACCGCAATGGCATGAACTCCAGTGGTTATAATCGATATCAAATTATTTTATCTGAGGTGCTCGCCACGTTATTAGGATTTTTAAAATCGAAATTTTATTTTTGGTGAAATACTTTTACTCTTTTGTGGATCCGCCAGCGTAACGCACGCACTGCTCGCGCCTGGAAGGCTGCTCTACGACTTTCAAACCCCTTTGGAAGTTAGTCCACTGCTGCACGCTCGCTGTTCCAGACGTCCAAAGCCGCCTTAGTTGTAGGGGCAACGACCTTCTGACCGACTGATATAGCTTGCCCAGTATTGATCAGTAGACGTGTAGTAGTTGTTGCTCTACCAACCGCAATTCTTCTACCAGCTTCCCTTCCAATCACCTTTGTCAGATTCGAGGCAAGAGTAGAGGCTCCAGATCCTACAAGACCACATGTCGCTCCTGTGATAAATGCCTCTTTTCCACAATCATAGACGAAATCTGCTGAAGGTCCGCTGCATATCTTAGCCACGACACACGAGTCCTCCTGCAACAACCAACGTAACAGGTCCAGCAACCAGCCCAAGCGAAATGGAGACCGCGAACTTTGCCCCAATCTTCAGCCACTTATTCTGACAAGATCCGGGCTCGGTCCCCCATTCTTGATCTCTTCAATCACCGCATCGTCATCCTCGTTGTTGTTCTCAAGGAACTCCTGTTCATTGGTCATAGCCATTATTTTTTAAGATAATTGGGTTGGATTTCCGAAATGGAATGAGAAGAAACGTTGTGGACTATAGGGGAAGAATAACTGTGAAGAACGAGATGGCCTTTTTAATAGTGGCAGGTCGTGCCTTATATACTAAGGAATAGCTAGAACTGCGTCTAGTATAGGGGACTAGGGATATAAGGGTAGTCCTAGGGGCACAATGCTCTTCTTAAAGGATCGGCACCGAGTGGTGGCGGATGCAGAAAATAGGGCGCTTTATATAAGCAAGACAATGTGGTGAATACACCACACTAACTTCCGCCCTGGGAGAGTGTAACACACTCTGAAATTGAACGTGAATGGTCCCACGGTGAGGTGGAAAAGAATAAAAAAACCTCGTGTGCTTGAACGTCTGTGCGTAAAGGCATGTATGGTAGTGAAGGAAAAACCTTCTTGTCGCATATTTCACCACGGGTTCACTGTATATTTAGTTTAATAAGTGTACCTCTAGCTCACTATTATATCTTATACAAATAAATACCTAATCAGTGTGGTGTGTGGAGCCACATCTCTTTCTCACTTATTTTTAATCCCAAAAATATCTCACCTCTGAATAGGTATGAATGATATTGGGTGAAGGTAAAAAGAATTAAAATCTTCGATAATATGTATCAACCATCGCCAGCGTGCTGGTAGTTCGTCAGAGCCAGCAGTCGAACCATTTGCAGATGATCTTCGGACTATACTTCGCGGCCACAAGATGTCCAAAGCGCGTGGTGAATGTACTCGCCACTATCGGTCTATGTGTTTCGCCTATGACGACCTATAACGCCCTCGCACAACTATCGAACGATATGCTCAGCAGAGTCCGAGAGGCAGTTCGGAACCATCCGTTTTCAATTCTTTACAATAACATCAACATCGCGAATCGAAAATATGACCAGCGGACCTGCTGACCAAGACCATACACTTAGGGAAAGGGAGCAACATGTCATGGGAAATGCTAGCCAACTAGTTATCAACAAATATCCGCTTATTCTCGAAGATCACCAAGACGCTTGAGTCAGAGTACGACATAACACACAACAGCTCTTTTCACTCAACACTGTCCGCAGAGCGGGACATTCAATTAATCCAGCAGTCGCTCAAGGACCATGACATTCTCGGCAATGTGCCGCTTGTGAAAAACCTGGCTAGTGAAGGTGTGGAAAAATTGATAGCTGGACGCTTCGAGAAGTTTGTCGAGAAAACCATCAATTTAGGCGGCGACGAACAAGACGCTGCTGTTGTTGATGGTCTGAAGAGCGAAGACAACCAAGCGGAGGAATATATTAGGTTGTTTTTTGATGCCGGATATGTTTTTTCTTGGGACTAAAGAAATTTGATGCAGTCCTATTCTTGAATATATTCGGTCGTTTTGATGTAGGCTTTGAAGTCAGAGCAGCGGGCGTTTGATGAGGTTCATCTGCTTCTCGATCAACTTCAATATTTGCTCCGCTTTGACCATCAATGAACTGGCCCGCTTCCTGTGGTGGTCGTGCACTTGCCATGTCAATATTAGTGATTCTCACCGGTGAACGGTTAACCGCGGTGAACAACTTTTTTTGTGATTTTTTCACCGGTGAATTCCACATATAGTAATAGTACTTTTATATCACTGAGTTTCACCGAATTTTACCGGATTTCACTGGATTTCACCGACTCTTTGTTCACCGGTAATAATCACCAGTGAACTGCGAGAATTGCACTACAATTCACCGGCGAAAAAAATATTTACCGGTGAGAATCACTGGTCAATATCCTTGTTCAGTTTAATGAGAATATCGGCTACTTCCTGCCTTTGTAGCTCAACTACAGATGTCCAAGTGATGATGGAACGAATATCTGCGGGTGTTGTGATTTTTGCAAATTCCTCCCCAAGCACCTGGATCATTTTGTCCGTCATTACGCAGCGCGGCTCAAAGGAGTCACAGAGTGGTGCTAAATCGCGCTTAAATGCCATTACTCTCCAGTTCCGCAGTGCTTCCTTGGCCAGCTCTTTCTGCTCAAACGTGCGCATGGGGACTCGAATTTTTGGTATGTAGACGGTCAGCAATTCTGTGAAGGAGATCTGCCCCTGCGGATATGAAGATTTCTGTGTAGGGTAACAAAGATCGCAGCAATTCTCGTTCGGATGATTCATATTGCCATAGACGTTATTGAGGACTTTTCTGCGACATTCTTGAGTGGTGATGTACTGCTTGAGATGCTCGTCGGCGTACTTGGTCCCATCGGGCGGCGGTAGTGTCAATAAAATGCCGAGTCCCTGACGTTTCGGATCACGAGCTACACGGTCAAGACGCTGCACAAAGGATGAAATACTAGTGGGACACTTGACCTGAACGATACGGTCGACGTTGTTGATATCACATCCCATTCCAGCAGCTTCTGTAGATAGCAACAAGAGAATGCTGCCTTGCCTGAATGCCTCCATGGTCTTCCACTTGTAGTCCTCGGACATGAGTGCATGATAGAGGACAATGTCCTTCTTTGTGGCCGAGGACTTCAAAGCTTCCTGAGTGCACTCCGATCCCAGAAGGAGGTGCAATGTTTAACCCCTATATCTACTTACAGACAGAAAGTCAACAAGACAAGAGAGGGATCTTTATTTCCTGGGCAGACGGGCCCCTTATAAAGCACTACCCGTCTGCACCACGTTAAGGGTACTTGTCTCTGCTCGTACGTACTACATAGGTCAATATAGTGCAGGAGGCAGCCACAGTCCAGAGCACCGTCGGTAGAAAATATAAAGGGAATGTAAGAGTTTTATGTGGAAGAGCTGACAAGGTGAGTCTTGGGACAAGAGGATACTGGAGACAAGGAACTTTATGACAGGGACTAGGACTAGACTAGACTGACTAACTAGCTAGACTAGGCGCGTCCTTTTATAGTTGTCTACAGCTTGAGTATTACTAAGCTGGGTCTTACTAATAAAGAGAGTGTTCTGGATGGATCTGGCTGTAGGTGAGTATCCACCTAGGATAACGGGACTCCTAGGCTTTTCTAGAAGAGCCCGAAGTCCTCTGGTCTTGTGCATGTGACCACCGTCCAATCACAGAGATACAAATCTCTGACAGGGAA